GACTGAAAATTTTCATTTTTTTCTGAAAAGGTGGTGTCTATTTACTTGTGACCACGCTGTGTATGAGGAACAGATAGACACATACTCACACATATTGACGTTTATTTGTATAAATTTAGACATCAGAGTACTATCTTTCGAAATTTAGAAACGAAATATTGTGGCCCATCAATGATGCACAACATCCTACTTACCTCTTATTATTATTGATATTTTTTAAAAAAAATTAAATATATTTGAAACCTGAATCTTTTAACTGTAATATGTATAGATATATGTATTAATATTATCCTATGCTTTTATAGATCTGTTGTATGATGCTAATTCCAAACGTTCTCTATTTGATAATAATTTGTGGTATAAAAACTGTTCGATCAAAGTTTAAAATCACTAGAAGAAATGCGTTCCGACCCAAAATGTTGTTAACATGAAAACAACTGTTTTTCCTTTACCATTTCCAATGAACTAACCAGAATTAGGAAAAACAGAAATCAACTAGACTTGTGAAGTAAAGTTCAAATGAGAATATCCCATCTGCCCGAATGAGATGTGAAGTTTCATTTCTCTAAGAAACCTGTCCACAAATACATGGGTTTATTGATGGGAAGGTTTGCAGTATGTTGATCGACATTGGTTCTACAGCTACAGTAGTTCAATCCAATTTGGTAATTGAAGGTGGGAACTTGCCTCCAGAGTTGAAGAAGTTAGATAGATTGATGTGAATAGCAAGTGAGTATATAGTTCCAGCAAGAGGAAAGTTTGAAGTTACCCTTACTTTAGGAAGATACTCTACATTTTATGATGTGCGAGTAATTGACATCATCGAACAGAGCATAAAGCGAATTAACTTAGGGTAGTAACATAGATGAAAGGTTAGGTTATTTTTAACTAGTTTCACAGTATATGACGAGGAAAAACTATGCACTACATGGCAATTACTACATTAGCGGTTGAATTTCCAGTGGAAAGAAGATAGTGGTAACCAGAAATTATTAGCAATAATTCGTCGTCTAGTCACTATGGTATAGTGGAACCAAATTTACAATGTTTGCTGAAGGATTAATGGCGAGAAAAAGTTTCATAAATCGGATGAATAAAGTTTTCATCGCTAAGACTGCGAAAACAACAAACCATAAAATTCGAGTCAAGTTTGTATGAGACAGTGCAAGATGTGAAGCTGTACAGTTGCATTTCCACTTCAAAGAACATAAGAAGTAGTCACCTTTGAGTCAAGATATAGGAAATCTGATATCAAATCTTCATATAAGGACAGTATATCACTTCACTTTCAAGAGCTGAAGAGGTCTTACATTAGTTTCAGCGTTTCTGTTTGTTTGTTTGTTTGAAGTTATGCACAAAGCTACACAATGGGCTATCTGTGCTCTGTTCACCACGGGTATCGAAACCAGGTTTCTAGCGTTGTAAGTCCGCAGACATACCGCTGTGCCACTGGTGGGGGGGGGGCAGAGTTTCTGTACAAACGTTATTTGTGAAGTTAGACATACCAGTGAACATAGCCTATTGTAAACGTTTTTAACGTAATCAATTGATTCGTTATCATTACCTGAACTAGAATTTGCTTTTGTTTATTACCAAACAATCCAAAAGAACACGTTCAGCGATAGAATACGTTATAATATAATATTTACAACAGACGTAAATACAACGACTTCATTGACTTACTAATTCTCTCTTAAGACATATCGATCCTTTCTTCTTTGAAACACAAATTCAATAATCCCAGCACCAAACTAGTTAACTGATTAACAGACTTAGTTAAATAATATCTCACTCTTCATCAGGTTCAATCTAGCTTACAAGTGTAAGTCACATTTTTATACTGTTCAAATGATTCTGATACTTCAGAGAACATTCTTCACGTTAACCCACGCGCTCGTAACGTGAAGCCAAAAGTTGCCTAAGAGTTTGGCAGTGGGTGCTGTTGATTAGCTGCTTTCCCTTTTATATACCAGTTCAAAATTAGGTACAGCTAGCGCTAGTAGCCCTCGCAAATGTCTTATACAAACAAACCTTTTATTCGTTACCTAAGAACCTTTGATAGTTTTATTGTACGACTAAGTTTGTCACAAACATAATATTAATAAAAACCGATCCGGCCTGGCATGGCCAGGTGGTTAAGGCGCTTAGCTCGCAATCTGAGGGTCGCGTGTTCGAATCCCTGTCTCACCAAACATGCTCGCCCTTTCAGCTGGGGAGGTTTTATAAAGTGACGGTCAATCCTACTATTCGTTGGTTAAAGAGTAACCCAAGAGTTTGAGGTGGGTGGTGATGACTAGCTGCCTTCCCTCGTGTAGCTTTGCGCGAAATTCAAAACGAAAACAAGCCAAAAACCGATCCAAGACACCTCTCGAAAAGATATATGAGCATATTGACAATGATTCGTGAGGGCCAGGATTCCAGTGTCACGATAAAAAAAAAAGGTTTAAAAACGTTAATTGAAACTGTAAAAGCTCTAGTGTTTCGTACAATCACATTAAAAATATATGTTGATTATGTAAACTAAAAAAAAAAGCAAACAAAGTGAAAACTGATAAAAACAATATAGAATAACAGCAAAAGTACTGCGCATGTGTAACGGTGACGTTTTGATTTCGTAAGAAATTTGCGTGAGATAAAAATAAAGGTTATTATCTTGCGGTGTCAGTTCGACTATTACAGTGTTGCTCATTAAACTAGGAGTAAAGTTAAATAGAAGAATAGAGAAATATTTAGTAGTTAGAAAATGGCGTCTTGTAGCATGTCGATGATAAAATATTTGCTGTTTGCTTTTAACTTCTTGTTTGTAGTAAGTATTTTATGCTTTCCCAAACGCCTTTTTTGTCACTTCTCAGTGTACAAACGTTGTGTAATACTAATAGTAATAATATATTTTTACCATATGGGAGACCTACCCTTAGAAATAGGTTTGAATCGGTACAGTTCAATTCTATTTCTAATGGTAGGTCTCCCATATCGTAAATCGTAAAAGTTAGGATTTGGGTAGTTACTTAATTGTATTATGACTAACTAGCAGATGCCCGTAGAAATAATTCAACGGTAAATTTTCTAAAAATAGTGATGAATAAATGAGAAAATGTGCAGACAACCCAGTTCCATTTATCATAATTAATATGCAATATCATTGGCGTAGAAAGTGAGGCTGAACCCCCCACATTTCAACCTGTCACAGTAAAAATGCATCAGAATTACAGAAATTACTCTCAGGCAAAACGTGAGAATGCATAAAATTTAATTTAAAATCCAAGAACGTCAGGGCTCTAACTATAGCGAGCCGTGGGCACTGACCATAATGGGTACGCCTATGGCGCATATTTTTAATTAGTAAAGTCACATCAGGCTATCTACTGTGTCCACCAAGGGGGATAGAACTCCTGATTGTAGCGGTCTAAATACGTAGACTTACCGCTGTTCCAACGGGGAACAGAGCGCATATTCCCTCGTTTCTCTCAGTCAAATAAACCTTGGGCCTTCTGCTTTTAGTTTGCCTCCTACACCTCTGAATATTATTGTCTAGTGGGCCGCTTACAACTTCATTTTGTCATTCCATGTGCTGGCGAAAAGTTTTGGATTTCTATACAATGAGTGCCTCCAGCACAATAGAGCGCTCAGATTCGCTGGATACTTTTTTCGTAAATCTTTGAAAAAAAAAACAGACAAATAAAAAACTTTTTTTTTCTTTTTAATAAGTTTTTTTTCCTCAGATTGACCGTTCAACGCATACGACTAATGATAGGAAGACTGACGGATCGATCTGAAATTTTAGAAATTGCAAAAAAAAAACTAATATCTTTCCTGTAATGTACTTTTGAAAAGAAGCTTATACGACATCTGGCTATTATATATATAGATTATAATTGTATTTCAGTTAAGTTTCAGGTAAAGTCTGTGCTATTTTATATTGAAAAAATAAAAATGATTGCATGAAAAAATATAACTTCGCGGCTCTAGGTCTTTTTGTCTTCGCCCCCATTTAATTATTTATATTTTATTGTTGTTTTAATGATGATCATGTAAACAACAATGAGCGGGATTTTCTGAATGCTATATTATGTAATTAAACTGTCTAAACTAATTCAAGCTATAGCATTTTTGTTAATTTGCACGACATTAGTAATCAGTATTTTTACCAGCAGTAGTTAAACACAGTGGCGGATTGTACCCCTTTAGGAGCAAAGGCTTATTAGGGGCACTTCACTGGTAGCCTAATAATTTCTACTAGTGAGGAATCTATAACTCGCAAAAAATAAATAAAACTCTTACCAGAATAATTTTGCATTTATTTTAAAGACAGCCATTGACTCTTTAACTTTAAATAGTAATCTTATGATATTAGCAGGTTCAGTGGTTTACGAAACTCATGTATAAAACTATAGTTTCTCACAGAGATATCGTGTGCATAAAAAGGAAAATACATGTATACTTTATATATATTCGTAGGTTTCCACTCTGTATGTGCACAACACATACACGAAATAATACATGTAAGCGCCCAATGTTTGTGAGCATTAACAGTATTTGATCATCTGAATTCAATACACCAGCAAGCGTTTGAGTTCATTAGATGAGTTTGAGAACAGCTAGAATGATGGCTTCAGTGCTTATGAACACCAGAGTTTCGAGATGTTCAGCTGTCAAGAGGCTGCTCAGTCTTGCTTTATTATCTATAGTTTCGAAAAACATCTTTTACAATGAACTTGAATGATGAAAAATGTCAGAAGAAAGGGATACACTTTATGTAAGTTGCCATATGCTTTTGAATGTAGCATGTAGTTCTCAAGTACATTAAGCACCATTTGTACCCATTAAAAGTTTAGCATGAAGTAACATCATCGTGTTCTACTCTGTGGTTATCCTCATATGCATCAGCACTGCAAAATATTTCAGTTCAGATCTTACAAAAGTAAGATCTAAATGTAACATGAGCTAACCTGTCTTTTGTCAATGGTCTGGCAGGTAGACCCTTTTCTTTATGCTAGCAAAACTCTTTGGGTCAAAACACTGCATGTCAACATACAGCTGATCATGTTCTGCAAATCATCTCTTCAGACTTCCTATTGTTTGATGAAATACCACTTTGAAAGAATCATTCCTGTGGTCATAGATGTAGACTACATCTGTGTAGTTGTATCTCCTTCTGCAGATCATACTTTTCGTTCATTAGGAAGTATATCACGTACTTAGGACAATATTTTTCCACCTTTCATGTTTATCACATGCACTTCACAATTTTGCATGAGTTCCTTAGATATTTCATGCTCCTCTAAATGTTGATGAACATGGTGCTGGTCACTGCATCCACGTACAAGTAAAGACTTGGTACTACCGTTTGAAAATCATAGGCAGATAGTGCAGAAAAGCTTTTGTTGCTTAATTTTTTTACCATCAACTGTTTTTCGATAGCACACATCCGGGTAAAATGAAATATTTTTCAAATGGTTGGACCAGGTGTTGGGCAAAACATTTACTCTGCATATCGTGGCTTGATGATTTAGAAAATATGCTCACAACATCAGAAATTTTACTTTCATGAGGGTCATCTGTTCCTATTTCTGTGTAGTATTTCTCATTGCTGTGTGGAGTTTCCGTGTGTGCTACAGCTGTTGCTGTAACATCATAATCATTTATGCGTGAATAAACAGGTTGCTTAGTATCAATGGGGGAAGTGATTATATAGTTCTATATATCAAATAAATTATTATATGTTAGAGTGTCCTTGTATCTTGTAAAAATCAAATTTGTGACATTATCGTGTAGGAATAATTTATACAACGTTCATATGATAGTAATCCGGCTTATTGTACTCAGCAAGTTTTGCTGAGTGCCACAAGCAAACTTTGTTGATGTCAGGCAAAATTCGCCATAGCAACGTACATACAATACGCCATAACCATATGTCATTATCAACCAAACTTGTACTGACAAACTAGACTGGTTATCAGCTACTCATGCCACTTGGTACAGGATCTGAAGTGTTTTGGAACTACTAATCAAATGTGAGTGTGGCATAGAAATTAAATTCTTTGATAAATGTAGACATTTATCATGATATGATTTTAAAGATATATTATCGTACATAATACATTAACATATATGAATGATCAATATTGGAAAAGAAATTGTACAGACAACAGACTCTGTTTTGCACTTAATGATTTCTTCATGGATGATTTCGAAATTTCGAATATTATGATTGATCATCCGCAAACCCTATAATAAGCATTCAGCCTGTTATATGAGGGTCTTTAACGTCGGTGCAATCGGATCAAAGCACCGACGGGCCCTTCATATTGTAGGCTCCCTAAGTAATGCAAAACACTTCTACATTTCTATACCTATAGCTGGTTAATACAGATAGGTTCCCTAAGAAAAGTTCACCCAGTAGTTTGAAGTGTTAAAAACGTCTCTGCTTTTGACAGTTCTACTGGTCAACTAGCGTGCAAAATGATTATTTATAGGCAAAGTATAAATACTCTTGTGGCTGAAATGCAAGATATGCTGTTCAATCCTATTATTGCTGGCGAGATTCGTCAAATATCGACAAATGTTTGCCAGTGAAATTCCCCAGCAAAATTGGCACCACAATAAGCCATGAATATTCATATACTAGTTGTAAGTTGTATTTATAACGGTGCATTATTATGCAATTATATAACTTGAAGACTTACAAGTTTCACACATTATTGATTCTTGTAGCAATTGAAGCTGACAATTTTAATACTTTCGTGGGAAAAACGTTTCTTTGTCAGGGAGGCCTATAATAAATTTGAATATTAACAAAAACTAAACTACCGTCAATTACTTCATTAATACAAAAAGATAATGTGATTAAATTGATATTTGTATAAGCAAACTAAACTTTAGTATAGTGTTTTACTCACAGATACTATTTCCGAGGATTGTTCACAATTATTCAACTAGGCACTTTGAACGGCAAATGCTGATTCAATATTTCGAGTGACCTTTGCAAAATTCCCATTTTAGAAGATTTGCACATTTGGCATCCTCTGGCTTGTCTCCTTTTTCCCGACATTTTTTATTGTTTTAATATGTGAAGTCTACAGAATGCTGTCAGCTTTAAACAATAGGTCTAAGATTTGCTCAAGCTATGCAGTCATTTCATGATGTTTCTCAGATTTTTATACAAAACATAAAGCTTTGAAGTAATAATCAGGAGAGACGTATGGTGCTGTAATTTGTATGTATGCCTATGCAGCATGCAATCATGTTCAGTCATGCTTGGACAGATCTATGCAAGTATATGTGTCTATACGTAAAAAAAAGTTACTGGGAATCCCCGTCTTATTGCATAAGTAAAATTTTAAAAATAAATTAATAGCTTACAGAATGCGATGTGTTTAGTAGTTTAAAACAATTTCTTCAAAAAGGCTATATATGTGTTTTATATTTACATGTGGCAAGAAGGAGCTGTATATTATAGGTTTAAATCTGTTCAGTGTTTAGTATAGTGTACTATATTAATTTAGCAATTCAAGATAGATATAGGACACTGGTTTTAATTTATGAAGAAGGGTTCAAGTGTTATTAAATGGTAAACTATAAAATGTGAGGGGGCGCTACTACTCGAGTACCTTGGGTCCCACCTGCATTCTGCGCGGTTGCTTGAACTGTTGAAGAGCTAATTCTCTACTACTAGTTAAACTTTTTTGACTGTTAAGAAATGTATGCCACACTGTGCACTACTAGTACTACCAATAAATTAATTACTCATGTGAAATTGAGCTATTTAAATAGGTTAGTGTTAAATGTATTTATAAACTAATGAATGAATTTTGCAGAATAAATGTTAGGCGTAGCCTGTATTTAGGTGTGTTACGTACTATATTATATATTCCTCGTGAACTTGAAACTGAAAGTTGAAGTAAGGAACAGAGAAATAAAATATGAATTGTGAAAAGGTGTAATAAATATTAGATAATTAAGAGCTAACTTTAAATGAGGAGGATATTTTGAGAAGACTGATATTTGCACGATTATATTTGACAGTTACTAAATTAGTTATATCATCAGTATATGTTGAATGAAAAATAAAATTAAAAGAAAACGAAACTAGTTTCTAATTTTCAAAAAACAAAAACGATTTTGGTGGGCATAGGACAAGAATTGTAATTTCGGATACAAGTGACTTATATTGTAATAAATCAATAAGATGTGGGCAGATGTATGTCAAGTGTTAGGTAAAGTGAGTACTGATTAAAATTAGTATTTCTGATTTATTACTGTTTGAAGTATTGCCATTATGATTTCTCATTATTTATGATTAATTCAGTGTTATTTAACGTAATTAATTGTTATTATGCACTGAAATAATAAACTAATTTCAATTAGTGTTTCTGATTATTCCAAGATTCATACAAGAATAATCAATTAATTATTCTGATGATTAATTTATTATAAAATTCCATCAGTTGCTCAGCTCTATCTGTTAGTACTAAATAATAATATTAAAGCTAATAGAAGTTTAGTGTGTATTTGTAGACTTTGATTATGCATCACTTGGAACAGTGTGTATAGTTTTGATCTCCTTATCTAAGAAATAATAATATTTTCTTGGAAAAGGTTCAAAGGATGGCTACTAAATTTAAAGGGATAAGGCCAAGAACTTATTTTTGAAGAAAAAAAAACATAATGAAGTTTACAAGATTATTCAGGGAATCAGTAGGATGAAGGTCTCTGATTTTTCTGGGCTTTATTCAAAGGACAGAATCCAAAAATTAGGTTTCACTTAAGTTTTATTTTGTAAAAAGGTGATTAGAATATGGAACAACTTGCCATTAATGGTAGAGACCAGCACCTTATTAGTTTAAGAGGGGTTTGATTATTTCCAGATAAGTAAAAGGTGAGTTTTAAGTTTTTAGTTAAGAGTGGGTGTGTAGTGAAAACCTTGAAGTTTTGATTGGTTCATTATTACTGATGTATTATGTGAACTCAAAGTTGTCTTTCAACTCGTAGCTTTGCTTTTTTTTTGCTGTTTGGACATTATTCATGACATGTATTAACTTTGTGATGAAGTATCATTAGTCAAGTTAACACACATGCACACATTTTTTCTTTTAACACTTAACACCAATATATATGTTGTAATGTGTTCTGTCAGTAATCATTTATTTTTTTGGATTATTTGTTTAAAATAGTGCAGTCCATGTAACAATAACAGATTTATTTCTTTAAAGTTTAATGTTCACTTGTAGGCCTAATTTCACAAACAACCTTTGAACAGATTGAGACTAATGGTATGCCTAATTTACAAATACGTTTGTAAACAAATAGAAGTAAAAACAATCAGTGCTTAAATTGCAAACTGAAATTAAAGTAAGTAACTTGCTGATTATTCATTAATTCACTTACTTTTGTATTTATATTGTTACTTGCTTTCTACTTGTTACAAGAAGCTTCTAGATCTTGCATCCTCATGAAGTAATGACCTGCTGCGTATAAAATATCAAAGACATAGCTTACAACAATATATATGTAAGCCTACACATTTGGGCCAAATATCATCAAAATGTGTGACCCTGATAAAATTATCTCTTTGCTAATTTTCAGTTTAATTATCAATATAAATTAATGTGTTCACTGATATTGCTGTTTGTGTAGTGCCCAAGGTAACTACTAAAAATAACAGTTGTTGTGCAACTTTTGTAAACTTGCATTTGACACAATTTATTTTTCACAAAATATTGATTGCAGTCTTTCAGCAAATCTGTTTTGGAAGATATTTTATATCATGCCCTTTGACAATCTAGATCTGATAATTTCAAGATAATCTGGTAAAATGTAATAAGTTTTAAGAATAACTTTTGCTGTATATGTATCCACATAAAATAATTCATTTTCTTGTCTCTTTCAGTAGTTCTTTTTTATCCAAGCATCTTGCATGTAATGTATTATATCCAAATGTATTCCATTATTTCTTTATTTTCCTTGCAAATTTGCATTTTTAATATTTTCTGTTTACCTCTTCTTCTACAATAATATTGAATTTTCTTTTCTCTTCTCATTTCCTTTTACCATTCATTATATTTTGACTTTCATATTTTACTTTGTTCTTGCTTAAAGTACATATATTCTTTTTTTCCAGTTTTCCTTGTAATCCACTTTTTTTCCAGATACGGAATCAAGCATGGCTCAGTGGTTAGACTTCTGGATCATGGGTTTGAAATTATCCAATTTTGCACTTTGGAGTCGTGTGTGTATTATAAGAGTGATAGTCAAATCCTACTATTAATTCTGACAAAAGTTGGCAGTGAATGGTGTTGACTATCTGCCTTACCTTTAGTCTATTACTTGAAAATTAGGGATGACTATCACAGATACCCTTTGTATTGCTTGACACTAAATATTACAAAATACAGATCTTCCAAATGCTTTGTTTCATGGTACACAAATCTCAGCCCTTGTAATCTTTCTTTCACCCTGGGTTTCCATCTAATTTCAATTTTTTTTTATGTTCATTGTATTATTTTTATCATTCTTGAATACAGGGGTGAAAGTCTAAAAAAAAGTAGAGGTACTCAGCTGGGTGATGTGGACCTGTTTTTGAAAAATAAAAACGAATCTATGTTAAACATAAAAAATGACAAAGCAGCTCAAATAATTCCCAGTAATAGTATCACCTTAAAAAAATAAGTTAGGGTACTAAGTACAGGTGAGTACCGACAGAATTTAACCCCTGCTTGAATCCATCTTTCGTGTGGTCCTTTCACTTAATATTTTTCAGTAGCTTTAAAAACTTTTTTTTGACATGTATGTTGAATCTCTTGTTCTTTATTTTACCACATTCCATATCAATATGTTTCTCTCTTTTCCAATAATCCTCTTGATATAATTAATCTGATTATTTTATAATTCATGTTGAATCCATCCAACATCTCCATTCCATACATTAGCATTGTTCTGATGATTGCCTTAAGCATTATCGTTTGAAGTACACTATGTTGGAAATTTTCTATCTCTTATTCCTCATATTATACTTCCCAATAATTCCTGGTTTTTTACATAGATAATTGATGTGTGTTGTTCCAATATTGCACTCAAAAATATAATACAACTTGGTGGTAAAGAAATTTAAATATCTGTTACAGTATACTCACCATTTATCACATTGAAAACAGGTATCTCCAAATTTTCCCAAATTATGTATCCAATGTTTTCAACCATTTTCCTAAACTTTGAATCATTAATTGTAACTCCTCTGTGTCTTTTGCCAAGATAACTGTCATCTGCTTATGATATATTTTTTCCCTTCCTGTTACAGTTCTAGCATGATGAATCAAATGGTTTTCATTAGAAATAAACACTCATGGGGTTAATAATCCATCTTGTCTCACTTTTTTTTTGGTAGACTAAGATGTATCTGTCTGCTTTTCCCCATTTACTACATTGTTTAATTCATTGTATGTCTCTTATATTGCTTTTACCTTCCCTATTTTTATATTCCAAACAATTTGTTCTGGATTATTGGGTCAATTGCAGCCAGGAGATCCAAAAAAATATTGTAATTTTCCTCTCCAAAGTTTATAATATACTTTTATGAACATGTTCGATGTAAGTAATAAAAAATGAATTTTTATAAAGCATCAGAACTAGAATTTTATAACCATTGTAATAATCAAGAGATCGTTGTTGTTACAGTACTAATGTTTGTAAAGGGGGAAAAAAACAAGCTCCAGTCAGCACAGAATTTGTTCTCCCTAAACAATTTTAATATTAGAAATATTTTTTTCTAAAATGTATCTCACATTGTTGTTGGAAAAACAGTTTTGGTTTCCTTCACACTTATGTACAATATTATACAAACTTTGTCTTTCAGATTTCTGGTATTGGTCTCATAGTTGCTGGAGCATTGTCTTTAAAAAACATCACAAAGTATGCAGATTTCATGGATGACAAGAATACAACTTCACCTACCATGCTTATTACAGTTGGTTCCATTGTTTTTGTCCTTGCCTTCCTTGGATGTTGTGGTGCCTGGAAAGATAGCTATTGGATGCTTATGACAGTAAGTGTAATACAAACTGCAAAGGTAACACATGTACTTGTGATTTGCAGTTTTTATAAATTTTCTAACCTATTGCGTTATTGATAAAGTTATCAAAAATGTATTTTCAGAAACTGGTATAACCCAGACAAGTAAGTTCAAACAGATGAATTTTCAAAGTTATTACTATTTTTAGAAATTTTTATGGAAAGTTCCCACATACTCTGAAAGGTTAAGAGGTGTGAACAGAAGGTTTGAATACATTTACAAAAAAATGGGTTAAAAGGTTCCAAGAAACAGTAATATACTAAAGTTGTACAAAATAGTTGAAATAGTCAGACTGGCAAATTATTTGTCACAGTAATTAACTTTTTATTATCAAATTTAGTTGATGAGCTTTTTTATTTTGAACATGTTTGCCATCAACTTTATTGGGTTTGTGTAAACTTCTAATTGTACTTGTAGATTCCATGAATTTTGTGTTTCAATAATGGTTTTATAACATTATTTTAGTCATTCCATGTCTGTGGGAAATATTTACTGTAATATCTAGGTCAGAAACTTTTTATAGAAGTGTTTAATAAACATTTGTAAAGCCGCACATTGTAGACAAATGTATTGATTTCATATTGATGTATTCATATTAAAACATTTGTCTTTCACATTTTAAATTATCTATTAGCCAATAAAGTAGCATTCTGCCATGAAAGGATAATTTTGTATTTGAAAGTTTTTTAACATGGAGAATAACAGTAAACTTTTATTACAAAATAGATTTTATTATTTTTAGTTAAACAGGGTAAGTTATCATGAAAGTGTCTATATGGAAATGCACACACATCTTATGATTGCATGTTTCTGTACAACTTTTCTCTAAGAAAATTAGTGACAACAGTTTAACTCTTTGTTTGCATATATTTCATTCTGTACACTATTATGTGGATATTTTAAATTGTCACAATGCATGAATAAGCATTAGGATTCAAATATTGGTTCCTCCCTCATTTAATGTCATAGAATCCCTTTATATTTATTTTAAAATACCTTGGACAGAGCTGGAATAAAATTTTCTGCTACTTAAAAATGTAACAGTAATTGCTGAATGAAATGGTAAAAAGATAGCTCAATGGATTTTAAATGATTTATTTTTGGTTATCAATGTGGCTTTTGACATGCAGTCTCAAACCATTATGTTTATCCACATAAATATTCTTTTCTTGAGATTAGCAGTCACAGTCTAGTTAGATTGCTTTGGTAATTTTTGTTTTCGTACATTTCATTTTCTCTACTGATGCATAAGTTGAAAACATTTTACATTTACAATAATATACATGTTTAATGTGAAACATGTAGTAATACATGTATTGTATTAGCTTGAAGTGGAATCTTTCCTTGATAGTTGATTGTTTGATGAAGTTCTATCTCAAGCATAAGTTTTAGATGCAGTGGTGTTGTTCAGCTTTGGTTTTAAGTAGATCATTGAAAATGAAAGAACATTAAATTTGTATCTGTATTACAGTTAAAATTTCACATATTTTTTCATTTTGAGATAAGATAGTTCATGAAAGTTTGGATCTAAACAAATGATTAAAATTGAAAAGTGTGAAAATAAAAATTTTTGTTTTTTTCATCAAATTTTTGTATTTTTTATTTATTTTTCTTTACTTTACAAAATTTTAGATAACGTTTTAAAATTCAGAAATGGTACATAGTAGAAAGAAAGGTATAAAAACACAAAGATTAGTCTTTAGAAAATGGAACTTTACAAGTTTTTAACATGGCAAAACTTTTCCTTAATTTGTCCTTATAAATTTCTATAGCTGTTTCATTTACAATATAGATTATTGCTAGACGGTTTAGTCTTTCTTCTCTCATTGTGGGATGCAAAATGTTTTTAGCAATTTTAGTCTCAAAAACAATCTTGAACTAATGGGAAAAGTTAATAAAATTCTTTTAGCGATAAATGTATTTGGAAATTTTTCTTTGATTTGGTTTTCACATAAATAAAATGTGACCTTATCTGGAGTTGAATTTTCTAGTACTTGATGTGATATAACTTTAAATTCTGAACCCCTAAAATTTTGAGGTGGGTTATTTAAGCACTTCAAACCTGCCTTGAGCTGGCCCCTATTATTGTATAATTGGAAAGTTATTAAAATGATAAGGTGTTTTCTGTGTACATGTACTGGCTTTAAACCTATTTCACATTTAGTTTTGTTATGTGCCGTGAAGCTAAAAGTAACATTCAAGATTTAAAGTGACTTGTACATGCACTTGTATATAGCAATTAATGCAAATTTATTAGTTCTTACAGTGTGAACCATTGGATGCTGGACTTATAAATTTACACATTTCTTGAATCTAGTATCATCTACTGGTATTGTGTGAAAAGAAACAATAGCATCATTATTTTTATTATCTATCTACAGTGTATATGTATGTATGCAGATTTTTAGTTTTTACAACCTATATCGTACTGCACATGTATGCTGTACTTCTGTTTTAAAAGTGGTAGTGATCGTTAATATAACAAACACATGTAAAAATAGAGTACAAGTATCAGTGTGAAATATAGAAAATGTTACCTAATTAAGAAATATGTCGAGTCAGTGGTTAGCTTTCAATGAACAGTTTAATTGAGCACTTTATTATCATTCATTATTAATTTATAATTACCTAATTTTGGGTTGGATCACCTTTCTTTAATGAAAATAGCCTGGACTCTGCATAGTATAGTCTCTCCAATATGATAAAAATGTAAGTTTGAATATAGTTCATTCATCAAGATGTGTAACTGGTAGAGGATTACAGTACATTATTGAATGTTATTTTTATATCCATCTCTAAGATGCCCAATCAGGTTGAGATTATGTATTGGTTCTGGCTAGAAAAAATAAAAATCACTGTTACACTCCAAAAATGTTGGACTAATTTTACAAGAACAGTATATATTTTTAATATGCATATATATATATATCGTATCATATACTACAAAAGCACTAATTTATCAGAGGAAATGCAGTACTGTGGGATTGGACATGATTGTCAATAAAATTGACAGTTGAATTTATTTGCCCTTTCTAAAAAATTCAACCCCTCCCATGAAAACGTTTTCCTTCAACAATATATCACCTCAAACCACTTACGCTATCAGAACAAACAAACAGAATCAAGTGGTTGACATTTGCATGGATTTTATCTTATCTTACTACGTTAAGTGTGACAAAAAGTGAAATATAGCTCTCCAAACCATGCACACTTTGTGTTACTTAGTGTCTCTGAGTTGTGATTTTTTGTTTCCATCCAAGATAAGCTGTTTGTGGACTGGTTTTTGTAACGTTTTGTATGATATATTTAGAAGTAGTGGAACTTTGACCACTTGAGAAGGAATTAGTCAACTAGAATATTGCCTGATGTCTCTTGCACTTTACAAGTGTGTACAGTTGTCTTTTCTTTCAATTTTTAATTACATTTAGACAGTTTTTTCCTTATAGAAGCATATTCACTTTCAATTGCCATTATTGGAAGACTTTGACAAATGCATTCAGACAGCTTGTAAAAAAAAAGGGGGGGGGGGACTCAAGTATTCAAATCAAACTTCACATGACCATCAGAGGAAGATGGTTGTAACAAAATGTCCAGTTAGTTTAGAATACCTGTTGTAATACTAAAAGAACAATGACATGTTTTTTTTTTTAGAACTATAATTAAATAAAGGAAAAAAAATCAATGTTTGATAGGCCAGATAGTTCCTATATGTAAATTTCTTAAGGTAGAATTTAGCAATTAATTTTCTTTAGCTAATCATTTGATTCTGTTAAGAAACAAGATGAAATGTTTAGTGTTTAACTTTATGTAAAACCACTTGTGTGCTCCTAATTTTTGGCATTACTTTGAATGTCTATCAAGTTTCTGACCTACTTTATTTAAAAAATAGTAATAGGAAGAAGATATCAATACTTATTTTACAGATTGAATTTAATGTTTATAATGTTCCTGAGTTTGTTGACTGTAATGTTGAATTTATTAAGATTTTTTTTTCTCCTCTGCAATGCAAAAAATTGTGATCCAAATCTATAAATCAGTAATCTGTTATATGAAAGTTTTCTCATTTTAACCCTTTGCAAGAATCTTGAACATGCTTGCCCTTTCAATCTTAATGGCATTATAATGTGGCAGTCAGTTAATCCCACTCTTTGTTGTTAAACAGTAGCCTGAAAGATGGCAGAGCGGTGGTGTTGACTAGCTGCCATCCGCCTAGTTTTAGCACTTCAAAATTAGAGATGGCTAGTGTCTTTAATAACTTTACACAAAATTAAAAAACAAAGAGAGCAAGAATCTTGAATAAGATGCGAGTACTGCTGCAAGAAAAGTTTATAACTTGGTTTTTATTTGTTGTTTGAAAACTTAAGTTTTGTATAATATTCCTTTGATATTCTTCTATCTTCGTTGTAACAAATATTTCATTCTTCATTGTTAATAATCAAAAAATGAATACCCGGATTTTTATAAAACACTGTTTCTCAACTTTCTTGAGTTGAACTGAATTAAAATTGCAACTTGAAAATGCTGGATCTCAGACATTCACAAACAACACAAGTGAACTACAGTGACTCAACAGTGTAACCTCAACACAAGAAGCTTGGAAAAAAGAAACAGGGAAAACCTAACTTTGTAAACTATCACAAAATTTGCTTAATAGTACAACACCCTTAAGATCTAACGAAGTTTCAAGTAATAGCAATACCCAATCTAAAACTCTACCTTCTTAAATGTCTGGTTTAAACAGTTTGAATAATTATTTTTTACATTGTACATATACTTTTATTTGCTACTAGTTGATGAGATTACAGTACAGTGTGGAATGTTTATTGGTTATTGACAAAATAGTTGATCAACTTATATTTACAGAATGTGACTTTCTGTTTACATACTGTCATAGCAGTACTTATTTGCAGATGACACACAACCAAGTCACTTACATAATTATTGCTAATGTTATAAAGACATTGGTGCCTTCCAGTTTCAGTCATTTTGTTTTACTGTCAGAGTAGCTGTATAATTAACAGGGTATGAGTTGACATGTACAAACTTGAATAGAGTAAAAGTTATATAAATTAGAAACATATTAATGACCAACAAAAAAAATGAAGGAATACCACCTTACAGAATATATGCAATATAAATAAAGTTAACAGAAATGACAAATGGCCAGGATCAAGTAAATATTTGTGTGGAATCATTTGAAATTTGTCACAACATACTGTAATAGGTTTCTGAAATAGTTTAATGTGTAATAACAATATACAAAAAATTTGGCATATCCATTTTATCTGCTCCTTTTAACGTGTATGGCAGTAGAAAAACATCCGTCTTGAAAAGCTAGCATCACTTGTGCATTCTTATCGAAAGCATACAGGTTATGTATGGATTACTTTTTATTTGCTTCCTGTGCATACTAGTGTGTGAGCATATTTACAGATCAACAGTTCTGTTAGTAAAAATAAAAAAAGTTTTTGTTTACACTGTGCATGTACTTCAAAACTCCATCTATCTATAAGAGTATTGAATGATGGGTAAAATTAGTTGCTCATTTTAGTGCTTGTGATTTGCCAGTCTTTTATATATTCTTGTATATGTAGTCATACATAAACCAGTTGTTTGAGAAGTGAACCCTGAAGCGTATCTTGTTTTCAGGTGTCTTAATTAAGTTTATTTGCTTACAATAAGTTAAGTACATTGTATGATTACAAAAAAAATACTTTGGGATAAATATCATTCATGGGAAGCAAAAATAATGACATGATTGTACATTAATTTATGTGATGTTTTTATTAAGTTTTAATAAAAATACATTTTTTTTCTGTGTAACATCCCAGAATGATTTCACAGACTTGTATTTATTTAAGTATTTTTTTTATAGTTTGCTGTTTTGCTTGCCATCATATTTGCCTTGGAGCTAGCAGCAGGTATAGCAGCCTATGTTTACAGGAAAGATGTAAGTAGAAATCTGTTAAAACAAAAGGGAACAATTCTGTTATATTGATCTGGTTGAGAGCTTGTTTGTAACATTGAATGTGTTTAGAGACAAATTGATCCTAACATGTTCTAGAGTCTAGAACCTTGGGTGACCAGTTACATGAATTGGATTGCTCAGTTGTAATATAAATTCCAAATTTTAACGTCTAATATTAGTGCAAAAACTTGTGATATAGTTCTCAGTGATAAAATAACTTGAAATTTAATGTTATTCAGAGTTTGTGTTGGCAATTTGTTTTTTCTATTTGCTCCGAATATTTAGTATCTACTGTTAGAATGTGCTTTCTTTATACCTTAATAAAAACAGAAAAACAGGCATATAAGCAAAGAAAAGAATTATACCTAAAAAAAATGAACAAGATGAATTTTATTGTTAAACATTGACTCCTATACTCATGAAGTTTTAACTACATGAACTAACCTGTATGGAGATGTAGGTGTTTGTTATTGTGTACTAACATAAGTGTTTTTTGTAACATGCTACATTAATATAAGTAATTAAATGATTCAGTCATTGCTCTCTGCAGCTGTAACAAAATAAGAAAAACCTGTACACATTTTTCCAAAATATAGCCAAGTATGCTGTTTTGAGAACTATTCAAACACTTAGAAGCATACAGTGCCAGAAATTTTATTGTAAAGAAAAAGTTTTTTTTATATATTGTATGTTAATAAAAACTAAAACTTTGTATGTTAATACCAGGAAACATTACTTGTTCGAATGAGAGAGCTGAAGGTTTCTGAAAAGTACAGTACTGTTACATTTTCTGTACAACCTCAGGGTGTTGTTTTTTGTAAGAAACAACAGTAAACTTTGATAAGTTCATAATTATGTTTGAATTGTGTAGAATAATTTTGTAAACCCTTGTATTTTATGAATATTTCAGATTTTTTACAACAAATGGAAAGCTAATCTGCAAGAGAACTGTCAGTCTAGGCCTTCTTTTCAGTTCATCAGAAATTATTCCACACTTAAGCAGTCTTTTTATATATGTTCTGAAACAATTTTTACGTCAGTTATTCAACAATTGTCACACAGTACAAACTGTACATTTTTTGTGCAACTGATGTTGATCATAACTGATGGTCAGTTAACTGTTTGAAAATTCTTTAGAAAAAACATTCCAGTGTGTGCCATCTTATGAAATTCTAGTATTGCAACTTCTTGACTTTGTGATGTCAAGCGTTCAACTATGTCAAATTGTATTATTTTATTACAAGTTACAGATTTTACAGTAAGGAAGAGTTATTTTTAGAACAGGTACAACATTTTGATCACTGGTGTGATCATTCTCAAGAACACTTATGTACTTGAGAATGATTACACCAGTGATTGAAACATTGTATCTATTCAAAAAATAACCCTTACTGTAAAAGCTGTAACTTGTAATAAAATAATACTTAACCAGTAACTCAAAACAAAAACTGTGTCTAATGGTGTTTTCATTTGGCCTTTACTCGTTACAAGTAGCATACAGTACTGTATATGTACAGTTTTATGAACCACTACATAGGAATATTCATAATTTAAGTAATAGGAATAGAAAATTACCAGGGATGGTTCATTTAAAGTCTCTTCTTTACCTTCCAACATGATAAGGAAGCCGTATGTTTTATTTTCTTCTGATTTTAATTCAGGATTTTATTACATTCATGTGTGATTGTACTTGAACTTTAGAATTTTTTGTATCTCAGGTAGTTACCTCTAATGTGTAAGGTTACATTCCAGTTGTTAATGAAAGAGTAACTATAAAATGAATCAACTAGATTGACAGTTTAAGTAAGATAGTAGCTTTCTGTCTTTAAAGGTTTCTAATGAAAGTTAATTTTAGCTGTAAGGATATAACTGATTTTATACTTTCTCTTAATAAATAGAAATGAAATTAAGATTTGTTGTTTCATCTTTTTTTTGTGCTGTTCCACAAGACATGACAATATATAGGTTCAGATGAGTACAGTATAATGTGCAGTAGTTAAAGTGCAATACAACTGTTGTAATTTTGAGTTTGGAGTTAGTGAGGTTGTAGATTTTATCAAGTGCAAGATAAAATCATTAATCACCTTATCTCAGTAGTATAGTATATATATTATTTTTCTGTGTACCAGGAACAGTGTGATAAGAACACAAGCTTCATACTTTTCCTTAAAGTTAAATGAAACTATTACTACTTTGATATATATATAATATTATCAAATTTTTAAATTGTGTATGTTAATGCACAGTTTACACAGTGTTTATGTACGTGAAATGTAATTACTGATTTACGTCCAATTATTAAAACAAATTGCTTCACATCCAAAATTAACTATTTTATTTTTTCAGGTAGGAAAATCATTCACGGAAGGCATGGAGGATGACCTAAAACAAAATGAAACTAACAGTGGTTGGGATAAGATTCAAACAGATGTATGAATTCTATGTTTTGTGTGTGTGTGTAATCCACTGTCATTAGTAGCACTTGCAATTACATTAATGTAATTTTGATACACTAAAGCATAATGTACCACTTTTATTATCCTGTAAATGTTGAAACTTCATAAACTGTCTTGTATTAAGTGAAAAGATGATTAAAAAGTTTTTTCCATTTTAATATTTTATTAAATACATATGTTCACAAACTTAACATTTTAAATTGTACAAATGGAAATCTCAAACAAGCTTTGGATTATATTTTATCTTTTGTACTTAAAGTACATTTTTTTTCCCCAGTGTAGCTAAGGGTGCCATTCTTGGAATACAGTTGATTTAAACAGTAATTATGTTAACTAACTGAAAAAACAGTGTCCTGTATCTGTCTCAAATTAACCAGTTGAAAAAATATTTTGTACGTATTGTTATCTAAAAAATTAATGTTGTTAATTTTAGTAGTAGGTGAAGTATTGCTATTATAGTTGCATATATTGCATATCACTTTTTTGTAGTATATATATAAACTTCATATTTAAAAATCTTATTTTTTCTAAGTTCTAATGTCAAAGATCATAAATCCTGTTGATCTTGTGCTAAGTTCACCACTAAGTAACAGGAACCAGTTCTGAAAGTTTTACTTAATTCAGTTTTTGTCAGAGTTGTTTACTTTTGCCAATGGTATCATTGGTTATAGGGGCAAAATAGGTCAGTACTTGCAACGGCTGCTTGGACTGCACAAAGTCCCAGTATTAGTATTATTAAGACTGTATGAGCTTACATGGAAACAGAAACAAAAAAGATAAAGTAGCAACCAAATAACTGGCTTAATTTTTGGGAGTATCACAGAACATTTGGAACAATATCTCACAGTAGTACATTAATACTTATAGTGCCATAAAAATGGTGTTTGTTTAAATCATATACAGAATACTAATTTATTGCTCAGCCTTTTTTTCTAACCTCTTCTATTTTCTATAGTAATGTATTGATCACTTATTTGCAGTGATTCATTGTTTGTGATTCCTCTATGTGTATTACCTGTGCATT